AGCTCAAGGCTAGCACTCTACCACTTGAGCCACAGCGCCACTTCCGGCCTTTTCTGCTTATGTGGTGCTGAGGAATCGAACCCAGGGCCTCATGCATGCAAGGCAAGCGCTCTGCCACTGAGCCACCTTCCCAGCCCCTGAATGCAAATTTCTAGACTGAAACCTTGAGGGTGACACTCTGGACTGTTGCCAGCAGTCCACCTTGCTGTGTGTTTCGGTGCTGTTGTTTGTTTTGTGTGGCCATTGAGGTAGTTTTTATTTGGGGGAGGAGGAGGGTGGAGACAATATAGGGTTTGAATTCTGGTCCTCACATTTGCTAGGCAGGCACTCAACTGCTGAACCAAGCCCCCAGCCCTGATTTTTGCTGGTTATTCTTTCATCCCACAGGACCCCACAACAAGCTTCTCCATGGATCAGGTATGAACGTATCACACGATGTTCACGATGTTTCTATCCTGTGTCTGATCTCACTGTGCAGATGAGAACACACTGCAGGTGCCTGAGGTCAGCTTCACCTTTCCCAGCGCCCTGTGGCAGGGCAGCACGGTCCCCAGCAGGCAGCCTCTGCTGCCTCGAGAAATCCGAGGTCAGTGCAGGCCCCTTCTAAGCCCCCCAGGGTCCTGAAGGTCTGTGCTGTGCTGTACAGAGAAGAGAAGGCAGAGCCCCCCACCCCACACCAAGGCCCCCTCTCAGCAGCCCAGCCATGTGGTTCATCCCATTTCCTCCATCAGAAGATGGACACCTCACACAACACAGGGATGGCCACAGTCACTCAGCAGTGAGAACATATTCAGGATTTGCACTTGGGCGGCTGCTCTCCACTGTCCTTCAAATGTTTTGTCTGGTCCCAGGGTGCCCCTGGCCAGGCTAGAGGCAGGCTGAGAAGGTCAGGGTTGAGCTGAAAAGGGGCAGGATGTGGGCCAGGGGTCGTGGCTCGGGCTTGTCATCCTAGAGACTGGAGAGGCAAAGATTGGGAGGATTGTAGTTTGAGGCCAGCTCAGGCAAAAGAAATTGGTGAAGCCCCATCTCAACAAACAAGCCAGGAAAGGTGGTTCATATCTATAATGCCAGCAGAAGTGGTCTGTAGGTATTGTAGGCAAAAATGTGAGATTCTATCTGAAAAAACAAAGTACTCTCTATGCACTATATATATACTACTTATAGTATATCTACAATATGTATTATATATACAATATATAGTTTATATATTATATATATAATATATATGTATATATATATATACACACACATACACATACAATATAGAACATATGTATTTGCAGTACTGGGTTTTGAACTGAAGGCCTCACACTTGCCAAGTAGATGCTCCACCATATGAACCATTCCACCAGACATTTGGGCTTTTGCTTTTCTCTTTTGTTGTTGGTTGTGGGGCTTGAACTCTGGGCCTGGGTGCTGTCCCTCAGCTCTTCAGCTCAAGGTGAGTGCTCTACCACTTGAGCCACAGCACCACTTACTGTTTTCTGGTGGTTAATTGGAGATAAGAGTCTCATAGACTTTCCTTCCTGGGCTGCCTTTAACTGTGATCCTCAGATCTCAGCTTTATGAGTAGCTAGGCTGACAGGCATGAGCCACCGACACCCAGCTAGCTTTTGGTATTTTTTAATTTTTTTTATTTTTTGGTGCTGGTTGTGGGTCTTGAACTGAGGCCCGGACTCTGTCCTTCTACTTTTTGTGCTCCAGGTTATCTCTATAGCTCTTTGAGCCACAACTCCATTTCTGGTTTTCTGGTAGTTAATTGCATATAAGAGTCTCACAGACTTTCCTGCCTGGACTGGCTTTGAATCTCAAACCTTAATCCTCAGATCTCAACCTCCTGAGTAGTTAGGATATAGGCAGGAGCCACCAGCACCAGGCCCAACTTTCTGAAGCTGATAAAGCCCAGGCCCAGGCTTGGTTACATGGGCTTCATTGGAGGAAGGCCACAGAGAGAGGAATGGTGTCATCACAAGGGACCCTCTACCCCAGGGGGGTCCAGGCCCTGTGGGGGTCAGATTGCATGTTGTGGATGCCCATCTAGGGCCCCCTACATGGACCCAGGTTTTCCTGGGCCACAGATCTTCTTGTCCATCCCAGGGTCCACTGACAGTGGAGGCCGACGCCACAGCCCTCTGCCCCCCAGCAACCCCCACCGGCTCCAGAGCAGCAGTGCCAAGAGACATCGACGACCCAGATAGAAGATGGAGATAGACAGCTGCCAGCCCCAGGCTGCCCTTCCAGCAGCTGGCATCGTTGTACCTTCCCTGGAGGGCCAGGGTGCTAGCCACAAGCAAAGGATACCGCAACTCTGCCTTCCGGCTCAGGCCAGGCTGCAGAGGCTCCTAGGAATGGCTGGGCAGCTGCTGGCTGGAGTAGGACTGTGTCCCTTCTTATAAACTATGTCCAGCCTGCAACACAGCTCTGCCCCACGCAGGTACACACACAACTCAGGGGTCCGATGCCATGCAAGACAGGACTGTTCCCTGAGCTTTGACTTGGCTATTTTGATTAAGGTTGGTGTCTGCCACTTGAGCTAGACCTGTCCACTTGCCTGCCTCTTCTCCCCCTCCCCCCTTTTTTTGTTGTTGGTCCTGGGGCTTGAACTCAGGGCCTGTGTGCTGTCCCTGAGCTCTTTCACTCAGGGCGAGTGCTCTATGACTTTGAACCACAGCACCACTTGCAGTTTTCTGGTGGTTCATTGGAGATAAGAGTCTCACAGACTTTCCTGCCAGGGCTGGCTTTGAACTGTGATTCTCAGATATCAGCCTCTTGAGTAGCTAGGATTACACTAGTCCCTGGCTAGTTTTGAACAGCGATCTCAGCCTCCTGTGGAGATAGTATTATAGCTGTACCCTGCTGCTTCTGGATTACAGTTATTTAAAAAAAAAGCACTGTGCATGGTAGAACACACCTGTAATCCCAGCTACTCAGTAGTCAAAGGTAAGGGGAATCATCTTAGCCTGGGAAAAAGCACAAGACTTTATCTGTAAAAACAAATTAAAAACAAAAGAGCTGGGGACATAGTTCATGCAGTAGAGATCCTGCCTAGCAAATGTGAGGCCCCAAGTTTGATGCCCAGTACCACCAAAACAAACACAGACAATGGAATGGGACCGCCTCGGAGCCATGCCTCCCTTCCGAGTCCTCTCAGGAAACCTGGGAGGCCCCATCTGGCTCCAAGGACATTGCCCTTCTGGTGGCACCTTGGTGAGTGCCACTGATGGCTCTGCCAAGATGAGACCCACGCCTGGAGCTGGTGTTATGGCGGCCTTCCACTTAACTACCTGGCCCAGACCTCTAAACTGCAGCCTGCCTGGGCCTCAAGTCCCTCAGGCTGCAAACCCTAACATGATGTTAAGAATTCTGCAGGCCAGGTGACAGTGGCTCACACCTATAATCCTAGCTACTCGGGAGGCTGAGATCTGAGGATCAT